AAGTGGTTTGAGGGAGTCTGAGACTGGGAAGGGGAGTACCAGCTAGGGAGTGCTGAAATGTGTGGACAGAAAGTAGAGCACAGAGGTTTGACCTTTTACATGACAAGCAGTTCTCCCAAGTCAGGTCCAAGGTCTAGAGATAAAGATAAGGTAAAAGAGGCTCTGGAAGCCTCTGCAGCAAAACATTGTCCCTGTGAATGTGGGTGATGGGAAGAAGTGAAGTGCTCCTTAATCCCGAAGTGACATAAAGATTGTAGCTAGTAATTGGTGAGGTATGAAGGAGCTCTAGCTGATTGAGCCAAATAATTAGAAAATGTTTTTTGGGAAATGAAACATGACGGTGCATGTTGTGGGCTTGAATGGGATCAGAATAGCAAATTAAGCTCCTAGCAGTCCCTAAATCACCAGAGGTAGGCCTGGGGAGGGGTCCAGGCAGGGTTCTTTTCACCCTGAAGCACTGAAGGGGCAGACCCTATTTTGTTAAGCTCCAGCTGTGTGGCAGCGAGGAATGCTAATGTGGTTCATCTCTCCTCAAGTTTCAACTGCTGACTTGCAAGTGAACAAGGAACCCTGACACCTTCACTTAGCTCAGCTGCTTGCCATCAGTAACTCTGCGTTAGAGTCTATGTTTTGCTTTTCCTTATATAATTTTTAAAGTCTGATCTCACAGAGAATACTAAGAAATGTAAGGATGAGAAAATTGTTTTAGATTTTAGTGGGTAAATCAAAAAAGTTATACAGGAGTATAGTACAATACTGGCTTATACTTGCTCTGTCAAATTCCTGAATGTAATTGAAAGAATGAGCCCAGGGCCTAGGAATTTGCTTTATAGGTGGTAGAAAGTTACAGTATTTTGGAGCCCATTTGTGAAATATAGTTACTGAATTCAGCACCTGTGAAACATCTTCTGAGTCTAAAGTTCATAAGTTCATCTTCAGTCTGAGTTCTTCTATTTTGTTAAGATGCTGTCTCCCATCAGTGTCCTACTAATCTTACTTAAAATTTCTATTTATAATCCCAGCACTTGGGAGGCAGAGGCAGAGAGATCAAGTCCAGTCTGGTCTAATTGCAAGTTCCGGGCCAGCCAGGGCTATAGGGAGACCCTATATATAGGGAGATATATATAGTGTCTATATTATATATATTTGTATATATATTTGTATATTTGCATATTATATATGTGCGTGTGTGTGTTTGTTTACCCTTTGAGTTAGGGTTTCTCTGTGTTGCCCAGGCTGTCCTTAAACTTGTCCATGGCACTCTTCTCCCTTCAATTGTTAAGCAGTTTTCTTAGCTCTGAGGCCTTGGGAATTAGGACCAAACTCTGTCTCTTCTTGACTCCTAAACAGTTCAGAAGGAAAAGGGTGGTAGGGAGCAAATGCTGAGTTTGAATTCAGGAATGAGTGGTCCTTGGAGTGGTCTCAGTGTCAGGACTGACATGAGAAACAAAGATTCGGTAGAGGCTGGGTTTCTCTGGGCCTGCCGCCTGGGTCTGACTATCGAGAGATGTCTTTCCTTAGGCCAAGTGCTTTCAGAGGAATGAGAGGTGAAAGTAACCATTTTCATCAAAATTACACCAGTAATTAAAGTGATTTATGGATTCCAGTTTAAGGTTATGAACTTAAGAACCCTACACCATGTTCTGCATATTGTATATACCGAACACCTATCACCTGGCCTGAGATTCTCTGACAAAGCATTGTAATATTATCAGGATTTATCCATCATCCAGGTTTATGAAGGCATGTTTTCTTCTGTATAGGAATTCAGCGCTTGCTTCAGGGTTTACTTTTCTTTCTTTTCCTGTCATCCTCTTTTACTTTCACTTCTCTGAAATATTTACCTGTGTTGTAGCGTTTATTATGTACAACACATTCTAACCCTGCACTGAAAGCTACTTAAGCTTTGCTCTCTGACCCCTCTTTTTTGGCTCTACCCATTAGAGCCTTGAGCTTAATCATCCAAGTCTGTTTGTACTAGACTGTTTCCCTTAGTGCTGTACAAGCCACAAAGTGAAACTGATTAGGATTTTACAGGTCTGGTGATTTCCCTTCCAGTATTCAACAACAACAACAAAAAAGCTGTAGAACTGATGAATCATTTTGCAGGGCTTTTGTATTTGAAAAATTAGTAACTTATGAATTCCATGAACATGGGAATGTCTCCTCCTATCATGAGGACATTATGACCTTAGACAAAACCATCAATGTTGTTTTGGCTTTTGATAAATGTAACATTTTTTTTAAAACTCAAACTGAGTTCTCCAGAGAACATTCATATAAAATTTCACATTTCACTTCCGTAAATTTTATGCTTGGGGCCCAGAATGGTGATGCACACTTATAACCCCAGCTGTCTGGAAATGGAGGCAGGTATATGGATTAAGGTCAAGGTCAGTCTGGGGTACATGGTGAACTTGAGATCTCAAAGCAAAATAATTTTTTTAACTGGGACTGGCTAAATTACTGGTCTACTGCTGCTCTGTATCTACTATTGTCCTGGCAACCTTACACTAAGCCATCACAGCACACTCCAGAGGCAGAGATATGAATTCTCCGGTTGTTTTGAGAAGCGATTGAAGCTGAGTAACTTTCCCTGTGCCACCCAGCTAGAAAGTCTCAAGCCTACCCTCTGACTCATATTAGGTGACAGCAGGCTCCCTGAGCACAGGAAGACAAAGGGGTGAAAGGAGGGTTCATTTGGCATTTAAATGTTGAATTGGAAAGAGGAAGCCAACCTGCTGTTGATTGAGAGCATAACTGGTTCGGCTTAGAACTGGGCTCAGCCTTTGGCCAGGTGTCTGACTTCTGTCAAGTAGTTCTGCCAGATTAGAAGTGGTGGTGTGACCATCAAGGATTTCAGTGCTACATAGTGTAGTTCACTGTATTACAAGTGCAACATGAGGGAATAAACGCACATTGGCTCATAGTGTATATTTCTCCTACCTGTTGGAGGTAGCAGTGACATGATGTAGTTCCCTTTCGGTTGCTGTGATAAAACACTATGTGACCAAGGCAATTTGTAAAAAGAATAGTTTATTTGAGCTTATGATTCCAGTGGTAAATAAGAGTCTATAATGGCCTGGGGGGAGGAGAGGAGGATGTGGCAGCAGAAGTCAAGTGATCACATCTTCAAGCAGGCAGAGGAAGCAGAGAGCAACTGAAAATCTGACAAGACTTAAGAACTCTCAAATGCCACCGCCAGGGATGTGCTTCCTCCAGCAAGGCTACACCGCCTCAAACCTACCCAAACAGCACCACGATTGAAGACAGAATTTCCAAATACTGGGAGCCTATTTTACTCAAGGTTTGATTCCCAAAGCTGGGGTCTTGGCTGGAATCCATCATCTGCCATTTGCTCTTACCGTCTCATTCTCTGTGCACTCTTTCCCATTGAGACTTGTGCTTGTTTTAATAATTATGATAGATTCTTGATTTTGTTTCTCTTTCCTTGTCTCTCTCCTAAACATTGCCTCCTAGAGTAGGCAATATATAATTCAAAATAATAATCCTGCCTTAAAATGTTACCATGATTCTTATTCTATGGTTGCATATATATGTGGCATTGCTGAGATGACAAAATTGGAGAATTAATAGAAAATGGATTAGTGGATGCCTGGGGCCGGGAACTTAAAGATGAAAGGGTGATACGTGTGCCTCTGAACACAAGCATGAGTGAAGAGTTCTGAGCCTTGATTTTTGAGAGTGCGTATGTGACTCGTACATGACAGAATGATGTGGAAGAACACAACTTTAATGTTTATTTCCTGGGTCTTGGTTTTGTGTGTGCAGACAGTATGTACATCTTGGGGAAAACCAGGTAAAAGACACATGAGTCTATACAGTCCTTGAAACTTTATGTGAATATTATTTACAACTTAAAGTGTAAAAGAAAACTGTTGTGCTTTAAAATGTTCAAGTTCTTTCGTCAATACTGTATTCAGTGTTTCATGTTGTTTCCTTCTGAGTTAATCATCCTTGTTATTGTGTTTGATATTTCTACTTAGATATTGTTTGACAGTAATGCATGTTTGGCTTTTTGACTTCATAATTGAACAGCAAAATATGGTTTTTGAAATACACTATGTCTTTTCTGCATCTGATCACTACTCCACTAAACCATTCAGATAACTAATATTGTGTGTCCTTTGTGTCCTGTCTAAAATAGCTAACTGTGCGGCACATATAAATGGACACTGAACTCTAATCTCAAGAGATGTGTAATCTAGTTGACAGGCGTAGAAAAATGAACAAATAAGCTTGCTAAAGTCTTATCATTAGAAATAAGTTCATTGAAGCAGTGGAGTTCTTGAGAAAGGGGTAGTGAAAGTCTTAAGATACTTTTTAAAGAATTGTTATTAATTCAGTTCTTGGAAGTGAGGTATTTTGTTATTTATAATGGTTATGAAAGAATAGTTGTATATTTAGCATATTGCTCATTCTTAATAAAATTATATTTTTCAAAAATATGTTGTGTGGAAGCAATATTAAAACTAGATTTTGAGATTGGGAGCACAACTCAATGGTAGAATGTATAGTGTGTGCAAGGCTCTGAGTTCTATCCTCAGCCACACACACACACACACACATACCCAACACACATGCACACACACACACAGAGTTTTGATTGTTGAATGCTCTACCAGGTACATAGAAGTCTTCCTGATATGGAAAGAGGACTTGAGAAAATCTGAACATAGAAACAAATGATCATTATGAAGAACCTTTAAATATTGCTGAAATGAAAAGACCAGTTTATACTAAGAAAAAAGTGTCAATTAGGAGAAAGATTACTTCAGGAAGGTTCTCTTAAGGCTTACCCAAGGTGGTTAAAAATCTGTATGTTTTCTGTGTCATATTTCAGAAGCTTTCTAATCCATGTATATGATGTGTTTATACTTGTATTTGTACGAATGGATGGGTAACATGATGTTTTTTTTTTTTCTTGTGTAAAAACATGACTTTCTGTAACTTAAGCCTTTTTCTTTTTTCCTCTACAGTGTATCCTACTCAGTACATGTATCAGAAGATTACCCAGGTATGCTTTTCTTATTTTGAGTTCTTATTAAAAGCCTTTGAATAGTTTTTTTTTTCTTCTGGAGATTTAAAATATGTGTATAGATATGGAACCATGAAGTATTGGCAGAGGAAATATTAAAGATAGGGAAGAATTCCATTGATTGCTTGTGAAATTCTCTAACATACACTACAGAATCAAAAGTAATTTCATGGTGAAGTCATTCACGTGGATGCATATGATAAACTGCATCTTGTAAATAGATTAAGTGCTTAATGCAAACTGCCACACACAATGAAGTGTCAAAGAAATGTTTTACAGTATCCTAACACCAAAACTTAAGCATACATTAGGCACGTACATTTACATATACATGTGCACATACAAAGAGAAATTACTAGAATAAATTCCCTGTAGGTATTTTTCCTGTTACTTTCATTTAATTGTAGTGATGCAGTGTAGTAAGGCAAGTGAACCCAATGTTTAGCGCCCTCTTGTGGCCAAGGGGTATTACTTAGGTTTTTCTTCACTTTGTGGGAACTCCACTTAGAAGTAGAACTTGGTTCCATGTAAAAATTTAAATTTTATTTTTATCCTAACTTTTAGGCAGTTCTGAGGATTTAACGAAGAGCCCTGTGCATGCTAGTCAAGTGATTTTTTTCAGTGAGCTACATTACATGCCTCACCCTTTAAAAATTGTAATGTTACAATGAAACAGTGATTATCATTTGTGCTGTCAATAGAACAGTGATTATCATTTTACTGAATTCCTATCTTGGAACAGGTTAGTAATAAATTTCCAATATTAATTTATTTCTACAAATAGAATTTAAACATATATTTGATCTACTTGGTCAGAGTAGATGTAGTTTTGCTCTAGTGGAACACGAGTATGGGAAAAGGAGACTTGTACATTCTGGATTAAACACTGAGGCAGAATTTTGAGCATCAAAAGACATCATACAGAGTACTGTTTACCGAGTGCCTCTGTGTGTATAGTTGCCTTTAATTCCAAAGGCCATTCTGGGTGATAGGTAGAACAGTGGCAGTTGGGACATTCATACTTGAAGAAATGTGCTGAGAGAGGCCAAATGATTCTTCTCAGGGACAAAGACTACAGTAGGAAAACAGTATGCATTTCAACTCTGATTTCTATTGCTTCTTGGGAAGTAAAGTTGGTGCTTTTGTGGCTCTTCAAGGTGAATGCTAATATTATATGTTCTCTGTTATTAAATTTCAATCCAAATCTATCTGAGAGTTGTTAGTTAATATGTGTAGCTTTTCAGGTTGACAGTATTATATAAAATTATGTGTTTGCTTTTACTTTCTAACAGCTGGCCCTCCCCAACTAGAACTTCTGGCATTGTTTTTAATAATAGATGCGAAAGTTGGCAGCTTTTTCTCTCAAAATTAGCATGTTTCCAGTTCTCAGACAAAAGCATCATTCCTTTTCTTATTTACTACTTTAAAAAACATTAATGGCTATTAAATATTGAGTTCTTACTTGGCATCCGTTGAGGTATCATTTTCTTCTTTAAACAGTAAGTTATCAAGTTATGTTAGTGGGCATCTTAATGTTAATCTATTAGTATGGTGTACACTTTGTTTCATACTTTGGTGTTACAAACTTACTAATGGAACTGAATGGCTCTTTGAGCATTTATAGAGCTAACAAGGAAATCTGTCTTTTTAGGTATGGTTCTCAGACAGTTGTATTTTTCTGCCGTTATTATTGATCTGTTTGTTCACAGTAGTTTTTAAACTATGTGTTCTTTTTGAAAGATCTCTAAATCATTGAAATGTTCATTTTTAAAAGAAAAAAAGTGTTTAATACTGTTTGGTCTGTCATTGTTTAAGAAAAGTCTTATGTGTCTCTCGCTACTTCTCATTTCTATATGGTTTAGGCTTGTTCTTTCTTATCTTTTCCATTCCCTCCCACCATTTGTTTTACAAGAAGTTTACCCGTTTGTTTTTCTGAGTCTGTTACTTCACTTAGTATAACAGTTTCTAGATCCATCCATTTACCTGCAGATTTCATTATTTGATCTTTCTTTACTGCTGAATAGAACACCATTGTGTAAATATACCACATTTTTGTTAACCACTCATCAGTTGAGGGACACTTAGGTTCCTTCCATCTCTTAGCTATTGTGAAAAGAGCAGCAATAAACATGGTACAAGTGTCTCTACAATAGGATGAGTCCTTAGGGTATATACCAAGGAGTGGTATAACTGGGTCATGTGATAGGTTCATTTTTAGTTTTTTAAGAGTTCTCCACACTGTTTTCCATAGAGGTTGCACGAGTTTTCAGTTTTGTTCTACTAGTTACCTAGCACCCTTGTTTGACACTTATTTCCTGGTTTGTTTCTATAGAAATGAAGATTTAAAGTCTTTCATTGAATGGAGTAGACATGATGGCATAGGGATAAGGCCACACTTCCAAATGAAGTGACTAGGTAGAGCAGCCTCTGGCTTTCATATTCTTCTTAATGGATTTCATGGAGAAGATTTTAATTTTTTGGAAATGGGTTTGAGAATTGTATATACATTGTAAATCACAAGTTGGCTCTGCTATAACCAAACTGCCCATTTTTAATGCTCAAGTTTTCTTACTTTTAGTAAGGAGACTGATCTGCTGTAGTGACTGAATTCTCTCATCTCTTCTACATTTCTATGTAGAATCTAGAGGAATGGGGTGGTAGTTTCTAGAGACTTTGCTCCTGTGGATCCAGAAGGTCTTGACTTATATACCTAACATACTTGTACATTGTGATTAACTTTGTGAATTAACTACTTAAGTGAGAATTAGAATTCCAATAGTCTATCAAATTAAAATACTTAAAATGTAATTGTTTTTATAGTTAATAAGAATTTATGAATTAAAAGATTCTGTAGCTTTTGAATGATTGTATTTTCTATATTTTAAAACATAATTCAGTGACAAAACACTGACTTTTGAATTCAGAAAAATTCAAACTTAACTACTTACTGATTGCATAGCCAATTAACTACTTTGGTAATTTGAGAGAATTACTTAATTCCTTTAAGCCTTGATTTCCTTATCTTATAAAAAAAGGATGATAGTTGGTCAGTTTGAGAAATGATGATTAAATAGAAAATTCAGGGAAATATCCAGATTATACTAGGAAGCCAATATAATTATTCTTTTTCAGTACAGTTATCATTTCTCTTAAGTTACATAACAATGAAAAATAGACTGACTTGACTTAAATGACCCTGTGTGGAAAGTGAATAAAATCGGTATTAAGACAGATTTTTCTGTAGGTCTCTGTCCAGTTGTCTGCAAAAGTTATGGTAATGGTTACAGTGTTCTGGTAGGGAAGAGAAACAAAAATACATTGGTAACAGCTTTAAGAAAGACCAGCAGGCCCTCTGCAAAACATGCACTTAAAGAACCTGTCTGCAGAGGTTTAAAGAAGAAAAACAAGATAGAAAAACAAAGCAAAAACCAAAATGACAGACACAAAGAAAACAAAAAACCCAAAGCAAAGGCAGTGCTAGAGTCAAGGGGGAAAATTCCAGTGATGAGGACTTTGAGAACGAAAGCATCCTCATCCTGTCTCACTGATTGTCACCTTAAACACATTCTTTAATGCTATTCACACCTTTTTTTCCATCTATAAACAAAGATGAGGTTATTACAGATGTTTCAATGGTTTAAGGAGGATATAATCATTTAAACAATGAAAAAGAAGACTATAGAGTGCTATAAACAGGACTATGCTCAAAGGTCTTTTGTAGACTTCCTCATTTTGTAGTTAAGCCTGTGACTTAGGTTAGGAGGAATCGATAATTAGTTGGTGTCAGTGTGTAGATTTTTTAAAAAAAAATATTTGTCAGGGGCTGGAGAGATGGCTCAGCACTGGCTGTTCTTGCAGAAAACCCAGGTTCTACTCCCAGTACCCACATGGTGGCTAATAATAGTCTCTAACTCCAGTTTCAAGAGGAACTTCTTGTGTCCTCTGTGGGCACTGCACAACATGGGTGCACTTACACACATGCAGGCATAACACTCATATACATAAAATAAAAATAAATAATTTAAAAAACTTTGTCAACCACATGTATTCCAACAGGGACCATATGCATCTTAACGGGACTGTGTTAGCTCCCTAGGGTCCCTTTATCCTACACCTGCTTGTTTGCACCCTTGGCCAGCAGCTTTCCACAGCCCAACCCACAGCTCCTGGCAACCACAACTCTCAGCTTCTTTTACTTCAACTCTGTTAAATTTCAGGTACATGGTGGCAATAACTATTTTTCGTTTCTGGTGTATTTGACTTATGCTAGTGTCCTTCAGGTTCACTCACATTATTACAGGATTTCCTTTTTCTTTCAATGGCTGATTAGAGCATTCTGTTGAACATATTTGCCAATGCTTGTATTCATTCATCTGATGGTGGACACTCAGGTTGTTGCCGCATCTTTGTCTGGGTGGATGAACACTGTTACAAGCACAGGAGAAGGCAGGTATCTCTTGGCTCTCCTGATTTCATTTCAGTTGGTAAATCCAGAAGAGGGATTGCTGAGCTAGATAACCTGGAAGAAATGGACAAATTCAGTCTATGCAGACAGAATCCTGAAGGAATCTGAACAGAATAATAAGGAGATTCGTTAGTTATTAAAAACTTCCTAACATAGAAAAATCCACAACCAGAATGTGCCCTGGGCGAATTCTGAGCTTTGAAGAATTACTGTTAAGACTTTTCATAAGTCCCCAAGTGGAGAAGTGTGGAGATTTGAGGTCTTCTTTACTCTGCCTTCTTTCTGATGATAAATTAGACATGCCTGGCCTACTACATACTAATGAGAGTTGAATTGTGATACTGGAGAACATTCTGCTTGAGGGTATAGTAATTAAAAAAACAAATAAACAATTTAAAAGTATGACAGTATCTAAATACTAATCAAAATATAAGAGGTAGGAAATCTCTTAGCAAATGTTTGAAGGTATAATCTTGCCCTTCAATATTATACAATATACATTTACCAAATTATGTTCTCTGTAGTTAAATCTTACTGCCTTCTGGTACTCAAACTACTTAGAGAATTTTAAAGTGATTTTTTTTGGTTTATTTCCTAATGGATTAGAAAATTGTGTATATAACTTTATATAAAGAAATCCATTTTTATATAGATCCTTTACAATGAGTTATGTACTGTGTTATCCTCTGTTTTCTTAAGTATAATGTTATTTACTTGCCTCTTGCCGCTTTAGTAAAGATCATTGTGTGGCTCTGTGAATAGCAACAGCTATCCAGTGTATGGATTATTCTGGTCTCCTAGTCGGTGGCTACCTTGTACTTCTCTGTTGCTCTAATGCCTGTCCCTCCTTTCTCTTTTGTTTTTTCCTTATTTTCATATTTTTGATTGAATTTTTGTGATTTTCAAACAATATAGTTTTGATGGCATTTAGATGCCTTTCTGTCTCCCCACCTCCCCCTACTGGCTCCTGCCCAATTTCATATCCTTCACCGTGGATCATTCACTGGGCCCACCAAGGGAGTCCCAACACTGTCTCCTTCCCTCTCAGCAGCCATCAATTGAAAAAGTTCCTTAGGTCGGGTTGGGATTTCTTACCCACTTCCCCACGTCTTTGCTGGGGTTTGTCTTGTTTGAGCTTGCAAAGGACTTGTGCACAGAATCATTGCTGTTAGTTCATATGAATAAATGACTGAGATACTGTCTCCTGTAGCTGAGGATGGCCTTAAGCTCCTGATCTTTCTGCCACCCCAGTGCTGGTATTACAGGCCTGTGCTCCCCTTTCCACTTTTATGGTTATGCCTTTTCTCATTTTTTTATTGCTTTTTAAAAAAATACTTGGCATGGAATTTAGTACATTAATCCTTAGGCTAGCACAGTATTATGTATGGCTCCCACCTCCAGTCTCTCCTTTCCTTGTATACAGGGAAAACATAATTAGGTTAAGAAGAAAATCACTTCAGTCAGACTAAGTGAAATTAAGTTTAAAGGAAAAAACAGTCTGACTCTAAAGGGGGGTATAGTGGCACTTGCCTATAATCCTAGTACCTGGGAGGGCTGAGGCAGGAAGGTCTCAAGTTCAAGGTCAGCCGGGGCTATGAAGAAAGACCATGTCTGAGAAAAAATGTAAAAAAAAAAAAATCTAGCTGTAATAGAGTTTCTTTTTTTCCTTTCTTTTCCCTTTCTTTGTCCCCTTTTCTCTCTTTCTTTCATTTCTTTCTTTTTCTTTCTTGATGCTGACCTGAACATCTGAAGTTATTGACAGAAGAGAGTCCAGATAAGTGGTCTGTGTCTTGGTGTCAAAACAAGATGAATTTATACAAGATCTGCTGCTTAGTCTGTGAGGCTACCTAATGAACATGAAAATTTCACATTCTCCTCAGCGGTATCTGAAAACCGAACAAACCAAAACTTGTTATTAACAATAATCAGAGTGATGAGACAGACTTGTTTTGTTTCAAATCTAATCTGCATCACTCCCTCTCACCTCCCTGAATAACTTAATAAAGCTTTGTGCTTTTTGAGACTTTGCAGCTAAATGGAGTGTGTGTGTGTGTGTGTGTGTGTGTGTGTGTTTATATCATTTACTTAATCTTGAGGTCTAAAAATAGCACATTCGAAGGGGAGGGGAAGAGTACTGACTTAGTTCTATCAATTTAAAACCATGTTCTCACTATACTGATAACAGTGTATTAAAACCTGTCTCAATATTTTTAAAGATGTTATTAATTATTTCAGTATTAATTTCCCTTAGCAGAAATCAATTCATGTTACTATCTGTTGAAGCTGTTTTTAACTGTTCATTAGGTCATTGGTGGTTGTGTTAATATGAAAATTATCTTTTAAATCTGTTTTTACATTTTAATTTATTTTATTGTGTGTGTGAGTGTGAGATCATAGGACAACTTGTGGAGATCAGTTCTTTTCTTCTATCCAACATGTGGGTCCCAGAGATTGAACCCAGGTCATTAGGCTTGGTGGCAAATGCTTTTACTTGCCAAGCCATCTGTATGGCCTGTTATAGGACAACCATTAATGAGTTGTCAAAGTGACTATTCATTAAATAGTCATCTTAAGATGCTATTCAGTCATTACTGAGACAAGTAGATAAACATCTAGGCATTATATTATTATAACATAATAGGATTTTATCATATACTTAAAGATCTGTATCTATTAGAGAACTTGGTAAACTTATAAAAATAGGGTTTTTTTTTTTAGAGGAAACAAAGTAATGAACAAGAAATTTAAGGACTTTATGGTATAATGTAATGTTCTCTGTGTGATTCATTGATAAAATTGGTTTGTATAAGAATGATAGTTAAGACTTAATAACAACCTATGATAAACAGTATAGCAATATGGAGAGTGTGATTTCAGTAGATCCATGGTTAGTGGTCCAGTGGTCTTGAGCTTTCCTTGAGCTTTCCTCCCTCCCTCTGTCTCTCTTTTTTTCTTCCCTTAAAATTTTATTATTTTGTTTCTCTTTTGTTTTAAACAGTCTCCATATGTAATAGAGCCTGGCCTCAAACTTGTGATCCTCCTGTTTCAGTCTCTTAAAGGTTGGAATTATGTGTGTGCCACCAGTGTGTTTGGTTTTCAAGGTTTATTGTTGTTGCTGCTGTTTTTTGTTTGTTTGTTTGTTTGTTTGTTTTTGAGACAGGGATCAAAGTGCTGGGATCAAAGGCATGTACCACCTCACCCAATTTCTTTTTAAAAATTTTATCAAGAGCTCTTTAGTTTCTTCCTCAGCTGAGTACTCCCCTTTCTGAAGCAGATACTGGTACTGAGCAGAATGCTCTCCCATGAGGTGAGCCAACCAGGTCCATCCAAATGATTCATTGCGTTAGGGCCCATTAGGAATGTATTAGCAGCCAGGCAGGTGGTAGATGCCTCCAGTAACCCCAGCACTGGGAGACTGAGGCAGGAGGATCTTTGTGTTTGAGGCCAGCCAGGCCTAAATAGAGAGACCCTATTTGTTGTTTGTTAGGTCTCAAACAACCCCTCTCCTCAATAAAGGAGGGTGTGTTTTTGAATATGTTCTATCCAAAATCTGGTTTTGTAAGGAGATATAAACATCTTGGAAGAAACTGCAAGTTTATGCTTAACTCACTCTAAGCTAATGAGAGCAGCAGTATGCCCTTTATGAGAATTAGAGCTAAAGTGATGGCAATACAATTTTATTATTTTTGCAAAGAATATGCATTCACAACTCTATGTCTTTATTCATATTTCTTTGCAGACAATACGTATGTGTCAAGTTCAGAAAACGATGAAGATGTTCTGGTTACTACAGAGCCAATTCCTGTAATTTTCCATAGAATAGCAACAGGTAATAGTAATGTAACATTTTGCTTATGTTAGATTAATTTTTCTTAAATTGTAGGTAGCTTTGGTGCTTTTTGTTTTCAATATAGCATATATATTCCATAAATCTGTTTATGTAATTTTTATATCTAAAATATGCTGCTTTGATGTTTAATGAAGTTGAAATATGTTGTGTCACCACTCCTCTTTTAAAAGTAGTTTCCTCCATTGTGACAATGCTAGAAAAACTGAATACGGAAACAAACTCAGGGCAGTGGGGCCTCCAGGAGGCATGTAATGAGAGCTGAAGACAGCCATGTGCTCCTTCTTCAATTTGATAACATTTATATGCACAAGAACAATCAGAATAGTTTGTATATTGTGTAACTCTCCCAACATGACATATTTTCAAAATATCTCTAATTCTTTAACTAAAGAGAGAGACTGGCCTAGGGTGTTTCTATATGGATTCTCATGAATGTTTGTTAAATAACATGGCAAAACCTAAAGTAATTTTAAAAATTATAACTTTCTTTCAGAATTAAAAAAAACAAATGATATTAACTGTTGCTTATCCATAAAGTCCAAATTGCAAAAGGAAAATGGGGAGGTATGTAAGTTATATTTTATTCATTCTTTTAATTTTTATTTATTTTTATACTTTATTATTTTTATTTTGTGTGTATGTGTGCATTGCCTGTGTGTATGTAAGTGCACTGGTGTCATGCAATGCCCTTGGAGGACAGAAGTGGCTGTCAGATCCCCTGGAACTGGAGTCACAGACAGTTGTTAGCTGCCATGTGGGTGCGGGGATTCGAACCTGGGTCTTCTGCAAGAACAGTCAGTGGTCCTAACAGCTGAGCCATCTCTCCAGCCCCTCATTCTTTTTATTTTTGAGTGTAGATTTTTTTAAATTTCCAAGTATTTGTATTTAATATCTGATTTAGATTAAAGTTGCATATGATGAACGAAACACAAATTCATGACTTGGAGACTTTCCATATGGTCGGAAGAGTGTCGTAAAATTAACTCCAAGAGAGAAGTTCCTGTTTGAAATAATAGGGCATATGATTGAAATCTAAATAAAATATGCATGCCATATAATTTATTTTATATTATTTTTATCATGCAATATAGTTGACAAAGAAACTCTCTCACGCCTATTACCACTATACATGGTTGAACATAATTTTGATGAAGTCTTTAAAGTTTTTTTGTAGACATGGTCTTTTTAGCATAAGTAACACAGGGGGTTGGAAGAGACATTACTTTTCAGTGTTTAAAACGAACTGAATTCACCTGTTATTCTCCTTTTCAATTTTTTTACTTGAATCTATGAATAAATATCAGCACTTTTATCAGAGAAAGTGCAGTGGGACCAGAAGTTTCGGTTAACAGTTACTCCTACAATATGGCCCTCCTTTCCTGCTAGCCCTGTACCATTCATTATTTCCTGCCGTCCTTGCCCACCTCGAGAACTGCTGCTTTGATAAAGCTGTTACTGACAAAATGTGAAAATATCGTATAACCCAAAGCCTCTGTTCTGTCGTGTTTTGTTTTCCTCAAGAACTTTAATTCAGGAATGATTATGGACATGGCTAGATGGGAGTCCTGGATCCCCTAAGAACTTGTAATTCAGGAATGATTATGAACATGGCTAGATGGAGTCCTGCATCCCCTAAGAGCTGTGCTGTTTGTTTTTGTCTTTTTCTTTGCTAATCAGGACAGTGATAGAATGATAGAAATACTACCATGAATTTTCATAGTACTTCAGGTACCTAATGATGTGCTTCTGTTAATTAAAAACTCAGACTTCAAGTTAAAGCATATTAAATTAAACACCCTTTTGAAATCTCAATTCCTCAACAAACAACTTTTGCTTACTAAAAGTTCTCTTCATATTATGATTCATATTTAGCTTCATAATTTGATTTTTATCTTATTACATTCTAAGTTCCTTTTCTTTCATATTGTTGTTTTGAGTTGGCTGTGCAAGTGAGAACAATCTTGGATAAATAATGACGGGACTTTTTAATAAAAATTGAATTACCATGAGCTTGCCAAATGTCTTATCAGGGCAAGGCTGAACATATAATTGATTATACACAAGTTTTTAATGTAAATCAAACATTAAATTGCAAATTTTAACATCAATGGAAGAAAACTTTAAGAAAGGTTTACTTTTAATAAACTTTCAGTGAACTTTGTTTCCCTCCCTCCCTCTCTTCCTTTTTTCCCATTTATTTATTTATTTATTTATTTATTTATTTATTTATTGAAACAGGCTCTCCCTGTAGCTGTGGCAGACCTATAACTCACTTTGTAGACCAGGCTGGCCTTGAACTCATGGAAGTCCTTCTGCCTCTGCCTCCCAAGTGCTGGGACAAAGGCTTGTGCCACTAGGCCTGGAAATAAACCTTTTCTAAAGAAAGAGGTTAAAGCTGGGCGAGGTGGTGCCTTTAATCCCAGCACTCCAGAGGCAGAGGCAGGCGGATCTCTGTGAGTTCAAGGCCCGCTTGGTCTACATAGTGAAAAAGAAAAAAGAAAAAAAAAAAAGCTAAAAAAATACGTTCAACTGGCTCTTCCTTATTTTTTTTTTAAGTTTGA